AAAAAAAAAAGAGGAAAACAAAAGAATAAGCTTTCCTACAAAACACAATATTTTTACTACACATCTACAGAGATGTGGCCATAAAACAGTTTCTCACTATTACAAAAGAAGAAGAAACTGCCTACCGCAAAATCAGACAAACTGATCACAGCGGACGAAAAAGTGCAATCTTATGAGATTTCCTTCGAAACTTTCCTTAAAAAAGAATATAATTCAGGACTCGTAACAGTAAAAAAAAGAACCAGATTTCACTGAAATGAAATTTTTACGTGAACCAGAAAGTAGTCACGAGAAATTGATCTGTTGTACTTAAAATAAGAATATTTGCGGTAAACGTATGGTATTTCTTACTCTGGACAACAAGAATAAACTATAAGACGCGCAACAACATAAAAACTTTAAAATGTTATCAAAGTATCACAAATAAAAGAACAATTCGCAAAAACAAATTTTTCAAACCAAATCAACGACGACAAGCTAACAAGAAAATTAGCTACGGTGTAAATTAAAACACGCAAAGTTCACAACGATGAGAAAAAAAATCTTGAAACAACTTGCTACAGTGATTCCAAGTTAGGCAAAAATCGCCCTTGCATATTAAAATAAGGAAGTTTTGTATTCCCACTTCTCGTAAAAATAAAGTTTAATCAACTTCAATGAACTGCAATTCTTCTCCCTCCATTAAAAAAAATTTTTAAAAATAGTTTTCAGGTATGACGACGAGTTACTAAATTCCCAAACCGTTTTGCATTCATGTGTGGTGTCCCCCCAAAGAAAGAAACTATATCCCAAAAAAATGAAAATAAAAAAAACCGATAAACCCATCCAATCTGAAAGTAAACAATGGCATTTTCCACCATATTAGGTAAGAGAGAGGTACCATCTTGAAGAAGATCCTTAGATACACTGTGACAAACATAACTTATCAGGTAAGAAAAAGCTATGCGAATCAATTTATTATAAAAGCCGACTGTGACCACGGTTTATTCAAAATAACACTTTTCCTGGCTTTAGGTAAAAGTTCTTTACAACACTCCCATGAAATTAAAAAAAGTAGACCTAAACCTCTTAAAATCATAAACTAGTTATTATATACAAAAACAAAGGCCCATAAAAATGAAATGAACCAAAAATGAAGTAATCAGCCTAAAATTCCATGAATAAACTGCCGGATCGGGGTAATATTTCTCATCCTCCCCAGAAAAAATCAATTAATTAAATAAAATTAAACAAACAATACTAATTCTCGAAAGAAACAAGCCCTACCTTCGTAAATACTAAGTAATACAACTAATAATTTACAAAGCATTACTAAAAGTCCTAATGCTAAAAAATTTCCCAGTCCCAAAAAACAATAATAAAATCTTGAAAAAAGAACAAGTGGAAAAACCTTCAGACAACATCCAAATTTTAGACATAACTATAAACCGCTGCAATATCAAACTACTTACGTTGATTACAAGACGCTAACTTCACAATTTCAATTAAAATGTAATCCATATAGCTGACAGTACGGGTAAAAAGTTAACCTTCAGTCAAAAGTTCGTGATTAACTCATTGTATTTGAAAAAAGAAACCGTGCTGACCTGACAACAATCCAGAAAATGCTACACCAAGACCAATTCACCATTCACAACTCGATCCTTATTTTTCTCAAAAACCATTTAAGAAATAGAAAATTGGTTTTGCTGTGACAAAAATCATGCTTTATGAAATGCCTAAAATGTAAGCAATATTAACAATAAACAAAAATAAAAATAAAATTAACAATTAACAGGCTTATTTCATTAAACAGAAATAGCAAGTAAAAAACGGTTTTATAAGTCACTATTCTGAAAAAGAAAGAAAGCTGATACAGCAAAAGTTTCTGAACCTTAAAAAAACATAAAAAATCCCAACGTGACTAAACCGTCTTCATCTTTAAAAAGTTCCTAGTGAACATAAAGCAACGAAATGCGGTAAATAAAATGAAAAAACGTGTAAAACAACAAAAGTATACTACCAAGAGGCTTGAAACCAGTAACTTACAAGCGCATCTTAATGTTCTACTACAAGAGTAAAACAAAAAACTTCCCATCTTGAAACAACTACAAAATCAAAACGAAACCATCTCAGTCCATACAATAAAAACTCAAGATTCACGATCAGATCACCCCGTAAAGCAAACTAAAGAAACAGAACTAAGATACTGAATTAAAAACTTCATCTCAGAAATCTAAACAACCGGTTAATTTATGAACGGATGGCGATGAGCCTTTACTGAATAACTAAGTTGTACGCCTCTTCAAGCATGAAAACCAGAAAATGCCCAGGACAAAAATAGAAAATGCTGATAACAGTTCCAAATGCAACAAAACTAAGTATATTTCTACTAAGTCTCAGGAGAAAACAGGCCAAACAAAAGTTCAAAATAAACATTTGTAAAACTTAAGAGGATCTGATCACTACAAATGTTCGGTTTTTGATTGTAGCGATGAAGGAACTGCAAAACCATAATGACAATACTCCAAAATACGAGAACCCCCCATAATTCGGAAAAAAGCACGAAATCCTCCACCTACTTGGTAGAGTTGGAAACTAAGACTATAACTAACTGTACCCGACCAGCAATGAGAAAAAACTGACTTAAAGATGAATAAACATGATGACAGTTCAGAAGGAAACTGCTTTAAAATTTTTCACCTCAGCTTAGTTGTCTTGAACTTTTAAAAAAAATGGGGAAAAAACCTGGAAGAACTAGCTCTATAAACAGCAATGGTTAAGTGAAAGAAACTTTATAGAATAGCTGCATCTCAATTTACTGCTGTACAGCTGATTCCTGCAAAAAAAAAAAAAGCCTAAAACGATCAAAACGAACGACAAACCCCAAATAGTCCGTACTGGCTAACTTATCCAGAAGCCAAAAAATAAACAGTAAAACTACGTTTTTTTTCTTTCCAAACTAAAGCCAAAACTTCCGATCCGACGACTACCAGTAAAAAGCGAATAGCATATTCCAGATACTGAAATTTACGAGGAAATATTCGATAAATCCTGCTGAAAATTTACTACAATGGTTCAAAATACAAACAGAGGCATTCATTCGATCGCGACTGTAAAGTCGACAAAAACCTAAAAAGATTAGCATACGAACCATGAAAAAACAAACAAAAAAAACTTCGAAAATGTAATAATATTAGATTCCAGAAGAACAACACCCGACGATTTTCCTACGGAGCATAAAAAAAGCAAATAAATAAATAAAAAAAAAAACAAAGAACTTGGATTCACTCATCTCAAGAAGTCGTTCATTCACAACAAACAAAGGAAAAAACTTTAACGATATGAAATGAGATAAAATACAACGAAAACAACAACAACAACAACAACAACAACAACAACAACA